CTTGAGCCGGTGAGATTTGAACCGCCGAACTGCAGATAGCAGTCAGCTGAAGTGGCCTGCAGTGCTGCATTTAACCACTGCGCCACCTCGGCTCTCTCAGTAGAATGGGAAATGGGAAATGTGTATAAATGAATAAAGCTACAGGTCAATTGCTATAAAACTGCAGTCTCACTGGACTGACTGCATACGCAATTTTTTTTCTGAATGATAATCAGTAGGAGGTTGCTATTTAAAATCATCTGTTAAAAAGAGGATAAAGGATAGAATGGGGAAAGTGGCATGCTATGACATCAGAGATTAGTCAAAAGTGGCATGCTATGACATCAGAGATTAGTCAATGGTTTGGAACAGGGGTGTCAAACTCACATCGTCACAGCAGCGTCAATTTCCACCCCTTTGCTAAACCAGGCATGGGCATGGCCAGCTCGTGACACATCCGTCCTGTGGGCCAGGAGTTTGACACCCCTGGTTTGGGACGTTGTTTTCGTATCAGCTAACAGATGGGCTCATCCTCATGTCTCCTACCTACAGGACAAAGATGTCCCACTAACCATTTTTAGAGGGCGTAATGTTATGACATCTCATTCAGTCAGTGGCTTGGCTTGCCCTAATGTCATGGAGCAGGTTAAATTCATATGTAACTGTTCAAAGTGGTGTTTTGACTCTTCTCCTGACACATGTCTTGCCGTGTGAGCCATCTGCAATGCCTCAGCGATTATGTTGGTGCTCATGAAGTCATAAACTACCATCTGCCCGCTCTTCTCTGCCTCATTAGACGGCAGCTGCCATGCTCTTTCCCTCACATTGCTAGGCATTGCCCTCCATGGCTTAGGTTTCCAGAGAGATCTCACACCTGGCTCCCACAATTGTGTCCGCTCATGTAATTACACCTAACTGGCATTTGGTAAGAGTGGGTGAGGCATTACACATGCTTCTTTTTTATACACTGGTTTAACGAGTCTTTGAAAGAACTATAGACCCTGTTTCATATTTATTTACTTATTTTATTGTTTTATCTCCTATAAATGCATTCCACATTTTTTGTAGCTTCTTCTCACAAGGACTTTCAGGTGGTGTTACTTTTTACTGTTTTATTTCTTACTTTAGAGGAGCAGCACCGTTTTTGCCTATTCCAATCCATGCTCTGCATCTAAATGCTGCTAATATTATCCCTCCCTTGCAGCAATTTTCTCTTTCCTGCTTCACCCTGTGCCTGACTGACAAGTGGGATACGTGCAGTGGTGGGTTTCAAATTTTTTTGGAACCTACTCTGTGGGTGTGGCCTCTTTTGTGGGAGTGGCTTGCTGGCCATGTGACCTGGTGGGAGTGGCTTGCCAGCCATTTGTTTTCTCTCCTCTCTCTCTCTCTCTCTCTCTCTCTCTCTCNTGTGGAATTCTGGGAGTTGAAGTCCACAAGTCTAAAAAAAAATTGAAATCCACCACTGTGTCAGTGCTTCACCAGCCATAAACCTCACCGCACGTCACTGGTCTAAACCTACTTTCTAGCCATTTATCAAGATTTATCTTCTCCATAGCTCTGTTCCCAACCCTGTTAAGATCCTTGTTTCCCCATTGGCTGGTTGAGTTTGATGGAGAACCCTGAGCTAGGGAATTCTCCAGTCTCTAACATTAAAGTGCGCTGTATACTGTCAATAAGGACTACCCTATTTAGTGACATGATGACAAGGGAAGGATGAAGGTAACAAATTTTACAGTAGTGTAGTGTAGTGTAGGACAGCAGCTTAACTTGGTGATGAGGAAAAGCCTTATTTGGAAGGACTAAAATATGTGCAGTTTACATGAAACTGATGCCAATGACTTGCTAAATCTAACTAATAATGGATGTAAGTCTCATATGTATTTCCAACTGCAAAAAGCAGTTAGATGGTACCATAGACTTTGGATTAGGACAAGACAAAACTAGGAACATATAGATTGCCTCAGGCAGCAGTTTCATGGACCTAATGCCATTTCAGCAAAATGTACTTCCCTCTGCTGCTCAATATAGGTGTCTTATTAATGAGTAGAAAAACAGCCGGAGAATTGGTATGGCCAAGAAAATTGGTAAGGCCGGAAATTAGCTGACTATCTCCTTGAGGTAGTGGAACTTGAGGAAAAGATACATGGAGATCAAACAGAATAACAGAGTTGGAAGGACCTTTGAAGGTCTTCTAGTGCAACCCCCTGCTCAAGCAGGAGACCCTTGTGGGACATCTTATGGGGCAAGAGAGAAAGCAGTTTATATAGGGCTGGAGCGATAGCACTATTTTTGGTTATTCTTTGATACTGAAAGATTACATAAACATTTAAAGTACAGTTCTTCATATTCTCTCTTTAACTTTTCAGCTTTTGTCATTCCTTTCTTCTTTTTTATTTTCAACTCTGCGTTGTTCTGTATAAAGCAGAATGGGGCTGAATGGAGGATATTTGTTTTCCACGCAGAAAGTATTCCCTCCCATGAGTATTCATTCTTTCATTTTATTTTTCAAACTCTGAAGTTTGAATTTCCCCCCCTGCTTTGGCTGTGACTTTGGGATCTGGTTTTGTCTCTCCCACAGATTTATCATCAGTTCCCACGCTGGTCGAGAAAATGATTTTGTCTCAAGTGAGTATGGAGTCCCATGACAAAGTGGATACTAATTATCTGATTTTACTCAGGCTACAAGGATGTGAAATTAAAGTNGGTCAATGGTGTCCCTCTTTACCAATCTGAAAATCTGGCCACCTTACCTTAGACTTGTCTCTGATGTCAGTTTTGTAACATTCACAAATACAGTTTTTGTTCAGTAGAGTGTAGAGCTGGAAGAAACCAGCAATTTCTTCTGTGACAAGGGAAGGGATATGTGTTTGGCTGTGCACCCAATGGAACCTAATCACGAGGACAGCTTCAAGAGATCAATTCCCAACTTCTTAACAAAAGCCAGGGTTTTATCTCTATTCTGCTAATGGCAAACAACTAACCTCCTTAGGAGCCTCGCTTTGGATAAACTCTTCATAGATAATATTATTCTTAGGATAAATAGGTTGAGATCTTTACAAAAGACTTACAAGGGTTTTGAAGGAGCTTTTCCAAGGAATTGCGCCACTGCCAAACTTCTTCTGGGGAAGGCCTGCAAACATTAAAATGACAACGTGTAAAAAAATACAACAAGTCAGAGAAGGATTTGTACTGTCCTAACAGTCTTTTATTGAATGATTGCTCTACCTTATTTATTATTTTACAACCTCTTTATAATCTCTTTCGTCAGTTCTGTAACTTTTCTTAGCCTTCTCTCACTTGAAGCTAACTGTAGCAAAAACAGGGCCCAGCAACCTCCTTCCTATGCCATCATAATGTCTTTAAGTGAACACAGCCTTAAGGTGTTCTAATTTTAAAGTAGTATTCTTCCTTTGAAGATAATATGATTTTGCTACAGAAATTATTTGGCACACTACATTCCTAGAGGTCATATTAAGCTAGTGCAGATATACTCCGTCCCCTCTGTGAACTTCAAAACTATGTATCTTTCGGTGGTATGAAAATCCATTTTTTTCAAGCCGTCCATTCTCTGTAGACTCCAAGTCTCTGAATCAATACGCAGTTCAGAGACCTGAACAGCAATGGCAGAGAAGAAGGGCCATGGGATGACGTAGAGTGAGTGAATAAGACATTTGCTATTTCACACTGCAACGCCCTTTTGTTATATGGAAGAACATTAAACCATGACCAAAAGGAGCACAATGATCAGCTAATATTGGTGAATAATCAGGTTACCAACTAGTCTATGAAAAATGGTTGCTACAATAGAATGAGTTTTAACAGCGTCTAAACCAGGGACGTGCAGTCAGGGGAGGCAGGAGAGGCAGAGCCTCACCACTGTCATCATGAAAAGAAAAGAAAATGTAAAAGGAAAAAGGCAAGAGCTGCTGAGGTCAGGCTGAGCTACTGGCTGCCAGAGTCACCGTGGATGACTCTGTTTAGTGCTTAACTGTTTAAAAAAGCCTCTTAAAAAGTGCCCTGTAC